CGTATAGTGGTTAATGCATTCAGTCTTACGCCTATCATGAGCTTTAGGGAGAGTTCAGATACTAGTAGTTTGTGAAGCCTATATTTTCCTTTTTACATACCTTTAAAACATTAAGGAAAATATATAACGTGTATTTAATTATCAATACATTTTAAGTTATTTTTAAAAAGACATAAATTTGAGAAAGTGTCTTTGGATTTTATCCCCTTCCCCTATATAAGCCACCATTCTTCAAGAGGTACATGTATTCTATGCAAATCAAACATAGCATTTCTGTATCAATCACGACAAAATGCAAATCAAGTCTAGCACAAACACCAGCAATGATTGAACATTTCATCAAAATCTATCATTATTATTATTTAAATTTCTGTTTAACTTCTTTTGACTGATAAATGTTTCTCTTGTGATTTTGAATGCCAATATGTTTTCAAAACTGTTAAAATCGCAATAATTTTATCAAAAATCAATAAATCTTGATTTCATGCAAATCACAAAAAGGATCCGAAAAAAGTATAGCAATGGCAAAAATATGTTGTAAACATATAATAGCATTGACTCAAAACAAGAATAAGAATAGCTCAATTTCTCAAAAAAGCGTAATGTATAGAAATCAGATGATGCATAGAATACATGTACCTCTTGAAGAATGGTGGCTTATATATATAGGGGAAGGGGATAAAATCCAAAGACACTTTCTCAAATTTATGTCTTTAACTGTGGGTCTATGAGAAACCCAGGCAGGGGGCCATACATGAAGTGTCACTCACATTTATGACATTTTCCCCAAAGACTCCAACAATATAGCATATAATCACAAGAAAAAAATTTCTGAAAATTTTCAATATTGGGGCCCACCAAGGGGGTACCCTATAAGCCATCCTCTTTATCATCATTTTGTATTCACAATTTTGTAAAAATTGCTATTTTCATTCACCATTCTCTTCTTTTCATTAAAATATTAAGTGATCAAAAGTAAGAACAAAAGAAAATATATATTACTTATTTTATTTTGCAATTTTTTTGTGAGGCACTTATATTCTTATATTTCATTCCTTTGTTCAGATCAAAAGAGAGATGAATCTAATGCGTTGTAAAAATCTGGCTGCATCTCTTGTGTATGGTAGATCTGCACGCTGGAATGGCAAAGGGAAGGGGGTAGGGCAGTTATGTGTTACCTTTAGAAGTTAACATTCAACATTGTAATGAAAGCTTTGAAGTTTCGAAATAAAGTTTTACCTTACTGTCTTCATTTTCGAAAATCATAACACAAAATATTCAGATATTTGTATTTTACTGCTTGTTGTATTTCTTTTGCGTGCCAGTATAATACGAGATGAAATCATGTATCAAAGAACACTTAGTTGATAAAATAGACAGTAGCAATAACCAATCACTGTATAGGACTCTAACAACGGATTTAATTGGGTGAGGGACAGATGGACACCTTAAAATTACTATCGCATAAGCTCATCTGGTCTCCAACAAGTGGAGCTAAAAGTAAATAAACAAAACATTTAAATTTTTAAAACTCAAAACTTTTTTTCAAAAGGATGGTGGCAACAAAAAAGTGAAGAAGCCTTGAGCCAGATCATCAAAATGAAAATTTCTATATCGAAAGATAAATATATTCAGAAACACATTGGGGGAGGGGAGAGGGAGGGGTCAGCCTCCTTCTTCCACCACTGTATACTACCAGCCTTTATCAAATTCTAACAGTTTTAACTTCCCTCTTTAGTATTTGTGTAGCTAAAATGAGATGGAAAAGACAAATGGTCTTTACATATCCTGTCTATATTAGTACATGTATAGACATCAGATTATATCCTATATCTCTAACCATCTGTTTTAAGTGAGAGGAAAAAACTAAACAATTCCTTTCTACAACATTTTCTTCCTTGTCCATGAAAGGAAACCAAAAAAATATTTAATTATTGATATCTTTTTATTAAAATTCACCACATTGCTAGGTGAAGCAATATATTACTTTTACATTCAATTATTAAATTTGTGTTCAATATACCAAATTACACTTACTGAAATTCAATGCACACAAATGGACAAGTTGTTCTACAGTCAATAAATTAATATTCAGAATATACACAACTTTGTTTAAAAGTGATCACTATATATGAATTCATCATAGGTAGAGTAATAATAAATTAGTACAGATTAGTACAAAAACAATTACATACCCTGGTAATGTTTCACATATAATACTGAAATGAATTGCAAAACGAATTCATAAACAATTCTAATAATAAAGTCATTATGAATGACAGATATGGATTTCATATAATGCAATTTTATGCAAATTTGATCCAAATTGCACCTAATGATTTCGAATGATTAGTTCCATAGATATGTTTTTAAATACAGTCACTGTTGATTCTAATTGTCCATATTGGTCACGTGTCCATGTTGGCCAGAATTCTGGAGACCTCTGACCTTTGACTTGAGGTCATGTGTTGTGTGATATGGACGATGGGATCCATAGCAACCTCTGGATTGTTTTGTATCAAACTGAAAACAGTAACAAAGTGTGTTAATTTTAAATTAAGCTTAGAGCATTATTTTATCAATTAAAGGGAGACAATCTGAAAATCATATGTCAAAAACCTGATATTTTAGCTAAATTTAATTCACACTGAAAAGAAGACAACTATCAGAATTTCAAGACTGTGCAACAAAGCAATAAATTATGGTTAATTAAACTGATATATAAATATTATCATGTAAAGCCTTTCAGTCAGACAGTCTGGTTCCTAATATTGTTAGCATGCTGTTCTTCATCTCTACATGAAGAAATGAAATAATGCTATCAAACCCTAGTTGAGCCATCAGGTGATATATTATGATCAATTATGTAGGATGTGCTCCCTCTGTAGACATCTGATACCTACCTCCTGACTTGTTGTAGGACATGCTCCCTCTGTAAATATCTGATACCTACATCCTGACTTGTTGTAGGACATGCTCCCTCTGTAAACATCTGATGTTGTCTGATACCTACCTCCTGACTTGTTGTAGGACGTGCTCCCTCTGTAGACATCTGATGTTGTCTAATACCTACCTCCTGACTTGTTGTAGGATGTTCTCCCTCTGTAGACATCTGATACCTACCTCCTGACTTGTTGTAGGACGTGCTCCCTCTGTAGACATCTGATACCTACCTCCTGACGTGTTGTAGGACATGCTCCCTCTGTAGACATCTGATACCTACCTCCTGACTTGTTGTAGGACGTGCTCCCTCTGTAGACTTCAGATACCTACCTCCTGACTTGTTGTAGGACTTGGTCCCTCTGTAGACATCTGATGTTGTCTGATAGCTACCTCCTGACTTGTTGTAGGACTTGGTCCCTTTGTAGACATCTGATACCTACCTCCTGACTTGTTGAGGACGTGCTCCATCTGTAGACATCTGATACCTACCTCCTGACTTGTTATAGGACATGCTCCCTCTGTAGACATCTGAGACCTACCTCCTGACTTTTTGCAGGAAGGGGTCTCTCTGTAGATATCTGATACCTACCTCCTAACTTGTTGTAGGACATGCTTCCTCTGTAGACATCTGATACCCACCTCCTGACTTGTTGTAGGACGTGCTCCCTCTGTAGACATCTGATACCTACCTCCTGACTTGTTGTAGGACTTGGTCCCTCTGTAGACATCTGATACCTACCTCCTGACTTGTTGTAGGACTTGGTCCCTCTGTAGACATCTGGTACCTACCTCCTGACTTGTTGTAGGACATGCCCCCTCTGTAGACATCTGATACCTACCTCCTGACTTGTTGTAGGACTTGGTCCCTCTGTAGACATCTGGTACCTACCTCCTGATTTGTTGTAGGACATGCTCCCTCTGTAGACATCTGATACCTACCTCCTGACTTGTTGTAAGACGTGCACCCTCAGTAGACATCTGATACCTCCCTCATGACTTGTTGTAGGACGTGCTCCCTCTGTAGACATCTGATACCTACCTCCTGATTTGTTGTAGGATGTGCTCCCTCTGTAGACATCTGATACCTACCTCCTGACTTGTTGTAGGACGTGCTCCCTCTGTAGACATCTGATACCTCCCTCCTGACTTGTTGTAGGACACTCACCAGAGTAACTGGTCATGCTGTTCTACACCAGATTTTCCTACTTGTAATACCTATTGTGGTTTAGGTCTATTCCTAGGGGGAGGGAGCATGATTTAAACAATTTAGAATCTACAATTAATTCCTGGATGCTTTAACACAAGTTTCAGCTTTTCTGACCCAGCGGCTCCTTATTTTTTCTCTTTTCCTGATTATCACCCCTTGTAAAGGGTCTTAGCCTTGCCAAGTTTGGTAAAAATTGGCCCTGTGGTTCTGGAGAAAAACCTCAGCTCTACAATTCTTCTCTAAATTTTCAAGTGATGTAACCCCTTCTTTAACCCTCACCCTATCCTTGCCTCAAGTAGTTATCTGTTACCTGTATTTGATTCTGAATATTAGTATAACAATTACAGCCTTCCTCATTTGAAAAGGGTTTTTTTCAACAACAAAAATTCTGTTTAGATATGCTGCATTTTATAAATTTTAATTTCTAACTTTCTACTGATTTTAGTTTCCAATATTCAAAGAAACATTTGTATGGATTGAACAAAATAATGAAGATGACATACAATAAATAAATACATCTTTTACTCTTTTTTTGGCTTTCACATACATGAAATTGCATTAAAACTTGTTTAGTACAAACAAGGACATAGTGAATTCACAGAAGTCTTCTTGGATCCCAAACTATATAAATATTACAAAATTACAAATATGGATAAATTTAACGAATTATATAGCGAAGTACATTTACAGGTCCTAGTTTGTTATAACCTAGTTGTACTGTACATATATGTGTAGATAAATGATTTAACAAGAGACCCAGGGCCACATCACTCACCTGGCTTGGATAAAAATCAAAAATCAACTTTGTATTGAAAAGCTTAAAGGCATATGTGGTCCTGACCTCTCCCTGTATAAAGGGAGAGAGAGAGATGATTGAACATAACTGAATTTACACTAAGGATGCATACAGGGTACATGTACTTATTTTTGACTAACTGTGAGTTTTTCCCTACAAGTTTGAACACCTTTATTGTAGCCCCACCCTATACCGGGTTTGAACAAATCTACACTACAAGAAAATGCTTCCATATGTATATATAACTTACTGGCTTTTCTGTTCTTTGGAAGAATATCTTTAAAGGATTTTTTCTCTATATTCTTAGTTAAACTTTAATTGGCTTTTTTGGTCCCACCCTATCCCCGGGGTCATGATTTGATCAAACTTGAATCTACACCACCTGAAAATGCTTTCATATAAATATTACCAATCAAGGCTTGCTGAATCCGAAACAAAGATTAAAAAATATATTTTTTTATATATTCCTATGTTAAACTCTGATCATCCATTGTGGCCCCGTCCTACACACGGGGTTCATGAATTCAGCTAAAAAATTCAGAGAATCAAGATCAGAAGAAATATATACCTGTTTCAAAGTCTCTGAATTGTAGTGTTCACTATAATTCAACCCTTAGTCAGAAGGCCCTTGATTGCTAAACGAAAAGGAATGTTCTTAATGATAATAAAAAAAACTGCAAGTTGTCAACACAAATTACCCAATTATCTAATGATACATAAATAATATAAAGTATATATAACACTAACTTTAGTTGAATTGATAATCTTTTCTTAGTGACGGTTGTCCTCAATTTTTAAGTTAACATTACCTCAGCTGTGCAGGTACTACTGTTGTCAAAGGGGATTTTGAAATTCAGAACAAGGCTCAGACTGCATTTGAAATGATAACAAATCATGAAATTCATCATATGACAAGAGAATGCATATATTTATATAACAATTTAGCTTTTGAATTATTGATAATAAATATTATTGACCTCCCCCTCCCCCATGTACTAGTAATATCATCATGAATTCATACTATTAGCTATAAATTGAAAAAGAGTTCTAGTTTTGTAGGATCAAATTCTATTTTTTAAGTTTTAAACCTATAAATTAGACGAAAACATTGGCAGAAACCCATTCATATTGTATGTGCTCTCATATTCATAAATCTCTTTCTATGTGTGTATATACTTGCTTGTACGAATATTTGGGAACCCCCCCCCCCTTCCCCCATTCAGATAGGGTTATATGGCTTTACATCCCCTCCCACCGTTTCAACTGATAAAACCATAACAGTATTTTATTGGTTGTTTTGCTTGTCAATTAAATTTTGTAGGACTCCCCACCCTTATATATAATTCAAATAAAAAGAAATGCATTTGAAGAATATCATACACATATAAGTTTTAAAGGGCATAATTTTAAATTTTGAGTAAATGAATAAGAAAAATAGTAATTATGGTTTTGCCATAACATCTGAGTTTTTTCAGGGCTTAATTAAATATTCACTAGTTTAAGAAGGACCCATTGGCCATTCCGAAAACAGTGTTTGAAATAACAGTGCGCCTGACCGCCGAGACGCACAAATTTTGCTGTGGGCTTACCAATTTGCACATATTGATGCCCAGCTGGACTTGTTTAAAGTTTTCATGAATTAGAATTTAATAATGTGATTAATCGCTTCCGAATCAACTAATTGTATCATGAGCAGTACAGGATTTGTGATTAAGAGGGAGGGGGGGCATGGATAACTTTGTTCAGACAAAGGGTCTTGATAATGATGTTCCAAAGTACAGTCATATGTTTAGTCATACCATAGTTTGAATGAAGGAGGTCCAGGGGGCAAAGCCCCAGAAGCTCCTGAGATTTTGTGTGTTTAAGAATAAAATTAGGCAAAAAATAGTGGTATTGTACAAAAGTATGGCATTATTAATATGTTTTCCTACAGCAAATTATTGTCACTATTATATTCATATGGGGGGGGGGGTATCATTTGCTCATTGCTCATAGTACATCGTGTTTCAAAAATCAATTTTACAAAACACAACTATTTTCCCAGAACTTGTAACTTTTACTAGCAGTCAGCCTGTATGTTTGCTATAAATTTTTCTGACTTTCCCCTTTTTCAATTTGAAAAAAATAGTCGATATTGCCTTTGTTTAGACATTTGTCTGTGTTATGTATTAAATACCTGATCTAAATATGACATCCATAGAGGCACCGATACATAGAAAAAATTATGCCCCATCCAATCTCTGCTGTGGCTTTCACTGCTTATTGCTATGGCTTCATGTATGCTGAGGTCGAGGATTTCTTCCAGTCAACTGAACTGTGTATAAGTACTAAGTATCGACGGAAAGGAGAGATACTCATCATACTCTAATCCCCAGCAGCAAGCTACTGTTCAAATTCCAGTACAAAATTATACGTTTTTTCCCCAATATTAACTGAATTTAAGTAGTTTTGATGTTATTGTTAAACAACCCATATCGAAAATAAATATAAAAATAATAGATTAAAATAATGCAAAAATAATACAAAAAAAGTATATTTTTAATGACCAAATTTGGAACCCTTTTTATCTTGGTTCCAAATTAGGTCAAAAATAATACACTTTCTTTGAAATGAAACACAAAAAAATATATTTTTAATATACTTTATTTCTCAGTAAAAATACAAAAATAATACACTTGATGTATTTTTTCTGTACTCTTGTATTTTTTCTGTATTAAATCCTTATCCAAAGTACAAAAATAATACAATTTACAGAAGAACTAAAAAATACAAAAATAATATAAAATGTATTAATTTTGTATCAGTCTATTATTTCTGTATTATTTGTAAAACCTTGAAAAAAAAAATAGGAAAATAATACAAAATGTATTAATTTTGTATCAGTCTATTATTTCTGTATTATTTGGAGCACCTTGAAAAAAAAAAGGAAAATAATACAAAATGTATTAATTTTGTATCAGTCTATTATTTCTGTATTATTTGGAAAACCTTGAAAAAAAATAGGAAAATAATACAAAATGTATTAATTTTGTATCAGTCTATTATTTCTGTATTATTTGGAGCACCTTGAAAAAAAAAGGAAAATAATACAAAATGTATCAATTTTGTATCAGTCTATTATTTCTGTATTATTTGGAGCACCTTGAAAAAAAAAATAGGAAAATAATACAAAATGTATTAATTTTGTATCAGTCTATTATGTCTGTATTATTTGGAGCACCTTGAAAAAAAAAATAGGAAAATAATACAAAATGTATTAATTTTGTATCAGTCTATTATTTCTGTATTAAAATCGATTTAAAACAAAAAAAATCTAAATATAATACATTCTGAAAGATACAAAAAAAAATACATTTAGGAGTTCAAAAAAGGTACATAAAAAAGCTTTGAATAATACAAAGCAGTGCCTAGAAAAGTACTAAAAACGTGAAAAACTTCTTCCTTCTTAAATGAAGCTTTCAATCAGATTTTAAAGAGAAATGACTTTACTTTAGATTACTGATTTAGTTACTTTTTGTGCAATAATCTTGATCTTTTCTGTCTTACATACAGTATTCACTCTTCAATTGTCCTCATTTCTAAGTCATGTTTTATCAATCTTATTGTCTTTGAAAATTGTACATTTATAATGAGATATGAATTCAAAAGTCTAGATCTTCTCTCTGCTTTGGGGTTTCTTTTGCACAGCACTTTACTATTGAAGAAATACATCTCCAGTTTTCTCACTGTCATCCTGCTTGGTCCTGCATAATCTTAGACTACAAAATAGAATATTAAAATGTACTGGGGTATATCAAAAATAGATGCACAGACACACACAAAAAAGAAATCTTCCCATGATTAGCTGATATTGTCATTTGTCAATGTTACACACCTGTAATGCTTCAAGGGGTAGGGTGGGGGGGGGGGGGGTTGTCCTATTCCTCTATAACTAATCAGCTTTTCTTCTTTGGCTCTGCAGAGGCACTCAAACTGTAAAAGTAATGATACTGATGTTTTGCAGAACAGGTAGAAATACAGACCATTAAAAAATGAAAATATAAAACTGTCAATACACCACATTGGAATTGGGGTGGGGTGGGGGGTCATTTGATTTGAAATCTTAAACTGATATTGGGGAAGGGAAATATGAATCATCATATATTGATATAAAAAATAATTAGTTTGTGCCAAAAAAAATCTTTCTTACCACCTTCTTCTCAAGTCATTTTTGAAATAATTATAAGTATGCTAAACCATAAATCCATGAAGCTTAGTTGCAATGATTACCCCCCCCCCCACCTCACTTTTCAAATTTAAATGGTTGGATGCCAAGATGATTTTATCTGTTATTATTCCATGTTTAGGCCTGAGGGATAGGGTGAAATTAATTTTTAAGTCATTTTTGGTCCATTAAATAATATCATTTGCCATTGAACATGTTGAAAGCCCGTAATTATCCATACAATTCAAGATGGAAAGTAGCATAACAAAACTCTCTTTCGCCACAAATCCAACATGTCCAATATATCTGCATTCAATTTGACCTACTATGAATTGGTTATAAAAGATATTATTAACATTTATTAATCTACACTTCACATTTTAAAAATTGAAACTACTGTGCTATTTTATGTAAATTCTTACCGCATATGGCGTTGTTTACACCAGGAAAGCCAGGGCATGATGCTTGAAAAACGCCAACCTCCTTCCATTTTCGCTTTTCTTTGTTTATAAATGTGATCCATGCTAACATGCTGTAGCTAAACATCTATTTTCTACCAATTTCATCGGCGAATATTAGCTAAATTTTATTAAACATCACCAACTCTCTCAATTCGGTTCGTCGATCTATTTTTCAAAATGGCGTGGGTAAATTACCGTTAACCAATCAGAGAAAAGCAAAGAAAAATTTTAAAATCTGACCAATCAAATAGCTCCTTATTTACGAAGATTGACGATTTTTAAAAATAAAATATTTTTAACAGTCAAGTACGAAGTCTAATAAGTAAATGGAATCAATTTAATAAACCCTTGATCATTACTAGAATAATTATTAGGAATCATTTCTTATAATCGTTATTTTTGTTTTTAAGAAATTTTCCGATTACAGATGAGAAAGATTTCTGGTCAGCCATATTGTTTTGTTTTTGTTTTTTTTTTTAATTATACAAGTTGACCTGTAAAGTAGACCATAAAGTTTTAGAAGAAGGATCAATTTAGTGTTAAATCTAAAGCAAAATAACAAGGTATAGAGCCATGCCCCCTTTTCTCGGCGCCATGTTCTTTTTTCCTAACAAAAAATTAATAAATATTCCCAGTGAAGGCAATATTCCTTAGCTGTTCTGTTTATTCAGTGCACACTGATAATCTCTTGTTTACATAACGCAACCAAGTGTGAATTCACGACAGGAAATCACTTCACGCTTGAACGAAGCACACAGCCACCTGGCTAATTAACATGCCTCAGGCTGTCAGGGTAGAAGATTTAACTTGAGAAACTGTCATTTGATTGCATTGATTATACAAGAATTAGCCCAAGATCAAACATAATTAACTTGTAAATTATTAACTAATTAAAATCAGGATCGTTTTTTTTATAAACTGAGAGTAGAATTAAACACAGAGTTGAAGTAAAAGTGATATTTTATCTGAATAAAAACAAATTACTTTTTATAATTTGAATATGATTCCTTCTCTTAGTGAAAATGTGCACATATACTAAAATCTGAAGAAAACATCGTATGCATGGTAATAGCTGGTTGGGAAATTCCATGTGCACAGGTAAATCACGTAATTTCTGAATTGTAGTATGATGCAATCATTTGTTAGCCTGCAAGACCACCTGTTGTGTGATAGATCTAAACACGTGAAAGATGTAAACCCGCTGAAAGTTAATGTAAACCCGCTGTAAAAGCTTCATGCCCAAGATGGAAATATTTC